TTGACTTTAGGAAAAGAACCAATTTTTTTTAATATTACTGTTTCAAACAGGGTAGGCCACTGCATCAAACCATCCTGAAATTGCAGTGACTGACCATAGGAAAAGTTTCTTTCTTTGCCTGTGTCACAGAAGAAGACATGCTTGGGAAACTCTGCCACTACCTTTACCTGCGGCCAACCTCCATCTGCTTGGGGCACCATCTTCCTCCAAGTCCCAGAGATCTCCTTTATTGCATGGTCTTATGGGAAAGGAGCACATGGAGGACAGTATGGGAGTTTTGTGAGCCAGTTCCAAAGTGGCATGAATCCCATCCACCACATTTCATCAGCTAAAACTAATCACATGACCCCACCTAACTGGCAGGCAGTTGGGAAATGTAGTTTTGTACCCAGTGTACTTAGCTGTGGGTTTCATTAGCACTTAGCATATACATATATATAGTTGTGATATATGAAGCCACAAGTGTTTTGTCATTTTTAATTTCAAAAAATGGAAATTTCATTCTCCATAATACAACCAGATATTAAAGTAGAAATGTTATGGAGTTAGCGATAGGAAAGCTAGCAAGTGGCCATGGCGTTGTGGCAAAGGGCAGGAAGGAGAGGATGCTGAGAAAGGGTTATGGTTTGTGTCTAGGTGTCTCCCCCAAAGTCTTGGGGCAGCTTCTGGAGTTTGTGATTATTGTTGATGTGGATGCTGCACCTGCCCTGGGGCAGACAATTTGCATTACAATGAAAGGAAGAAAGAAAAGTTAGCTGCTTGAGCTGCTGCCACTCCTCCTTCTGTGCTCTTGCTCTTTGCCACCGCCATGAAAAGTTGCTTTCTGCTATGTGCTGCTGTGTCAGTAACTGTGAGCTAAATAAACCTCTCCTTCCATCATTTTGGGTGTCGGGTATTTGTCCCAGCAACGAGAGAAGAGTAACTAAGACGGAAAGTAACCCAGTTCACTTTCTAACATGAACTTGGACTGTCATTTGAAAACTCTGCAGGGAGATGAAAGACCAAGCTGTTTTTCTGTGTAGTTTCTAAAATTGTTACAAAGTAATGCGCTGTGCTATTACTGCTTTTGTGGTGCTATTACTGCTTTTGTTTTGTTGTGGATTCCTTCCTTCCCCAGGAACGTATTGTTTCATGTTAAACATAGAAAAATTTTAATAACTAATTTTCTTTTTATCTATAATTTTAAATAGCTGCATATGTGCATTTGTGCATTTTTAAAAAGCTGGCAACACAGAACACAGAGCTGGATTCTTGGTGCAATAAATCAGTTCCTCCAGCATGTACAAATCAGCGAGTTAATTATTAGCAATTCTATTTACTAATGATTTTCCCCTTCAAACTATTTTTCCATTTTCGTGACCAAATGTGCACTTTGATGACTAAACCAATAAAGTCCCTGTTGGAGCTGGCTCTTTGAAGCTGTCTCTCAAAATGGGGGTGAATACATAGACCTCACACTCCTTAATTAAGAGGCATGTTGCTCATTTACAAACTCAGGCCTCTCAGATGGTTTTTCCTACCGCGCTGACGCACACGTCACGGTCTACTTAAGGAAATATGCACAGGACATGTTGCTGCGTTCGCAGGGCAGCCTCGGGCGGCTTTTCCAGGTTGGGTAGTTGTCTTCTAGGACCCATTTTATAGTTTTCACTTATAAGTTGAATGTTAAACAGCTATTGTTTGTTCCTCTTAAGTCAGTGAGAATAAGGCTAGATTTGATGACAAACTGCTGACATCTTCCAACAGAGCTATGATACTAAGCTGCACTCTGACTGGGGAAGGAATTCCTAAGAATGGATAAGAAATCTTACTTTATTCACAAGTTTTCGATGGTCCACGTGGTAGTCATTAACACTTTGGAGAGTTTTATAAATGACACCATGCAATGTCAACAATCAGGACTTGGGAGAAATCAGCACACCTCAGATTTCTCAGCTTTACCTTTCCACCTGAAGGCACGCATATGAAAGCAATAAGGCTGCAGAAAAAGAGGATTTCTCTGGAGAGCTGTGGTAATGTGCAAACAGTATATGAATTTCATCCTCTGGTAACTTTCTCCTGTTCGTTAACCCCAGGCAGTATTCTTTGAAATCCAAACTAATTGGTTTTGACCAGTACATATGAAATAGGTTTGGCCACCTGTACCAGAGACCCTGGGCTGGCTTCTAATTAGGCTTTAAAAAAATATCATATTTCAACAAATTTCCTTTGCTTTGTGTGACTTCACATAGAACAATTGCAGCAATCTTGCTTGAGTTTACTGAGCCCACGCTACCTCCACGGAGACTATTGTATACATTGCAGAATCCTTCATCTTTCCTACTGCTTGAAATTGAAATCCTTCTCTAACTCTCCACAGCCTTAGGGATGGACAAGATTCTCGATGGATGTGGGCCTTTTCTGACTCCTGGTTTCCTCCCTGCTCCTTCTGTGTCCTACCATTCCTCTAGCTTCTCCTTCCTTCCTCTGCTCCAAACACGGCCCTTGTGTATGTTCCAGTTTGCAGGCCACAGCTCCATGTCCCCAGTGGCCACGCACCATTTCCTCTCCATTCCGCCTATTATCCCTGCCTGGAGCATCTTCTCCACCATACTGCTTCTCTCATTTCACCTGGGTAATTTGCACCAGTTACCAGGTTCATATAGGCCCCCATTTTCTCCAGAAAACCCCTCATGCACCCATCCCAATCCAACAGTTCTTGTGCCTTCCCCTAGCTCTGAGAACTCACCCTTCCTGTAGGGTTCGTATGTTGGACTATAATGATGTTTACTTATCTGGCTTTGCCCCTAAAATATATGTTCTTTGTGAACAGGGGCTGTTCTCATACATGCTCTACAGTCTCAGGACCTAGTACAGTACCTGCTGTGTATAGTTGCATAATATGTAGGTTTGATTGTGACAAATAGCTGCATTATTTCTCTGTCAAAGCTTCTTAGGCCTGAGGGTGTAGCTCAGTGATACAATATCTCTGGCCTCTCTAGGTGCCATGCCAGTAGAATACCCAGCGAGTATGATCAAGGCTTTTGTGTTCAACTCCCAACACTGCAGGCAGGCAGGCAGGAAGAGAACCACACAGGACACTGTAGTGACACCTGCCATGCTGTCCTATGCTGTAGTGCACCTGTCTAAAAGAGATAAGACATAAGTGTAAGCCAGTAAGCACTGCTCCTTTCCATCACTGTTTTCTGTGTAGCTAAATCACTGCTTGGAGCACAGAACATGCTCAATTTATCACTCTAAAGTAATAGTAGGTGATCTTACCTTCCAAAGGACATTTGGCAATGTTTAGAGACATTTTTGATTGTCACAACTGGAAGGGTATATGTGACTGGTTCCTATAGAGGCCAAAGATAAATGTCCTACAATGCACAGGACAGCGCTCAAGGACAAAGAATTATCTGGCCAAAATGTGCTAGAGAGCTTGAGAAACACTGTTCTGAGTGCTTTAGCGAATATTTACAGATCCTATTTTAAAGTGGAAGAAGGGCCCTTCCACAAGAAGCAAAGGAGATACTCCTCCTTGCATTTTGTACTCTCCACAAATGAACTGTCCCAAGCCATATCTTCACCGAGTGGTTCTCAACCGAGCCACTAAGTTCGTGGGCGAGGCTAAGCATGAGGGAAACCTAAAAGGTCACTGAACTGTCTGACCCCGGCTTAGCTATTATTAACTAGCATAAAATGTAGTCCTGCTGCAGATAGCACATGGCAAACTGTGCATTCTTTCTCTGTTAAAGGGCCCAGGGACCATTTCTACAGCATATTTAATACACACTAGGAATGGCAAACAGCCCTCCAGAAAAGATATGGCACAATTCTTGGTTTCTAGTGTGACAGCAATTCAGTCCAACACCAAGACAGTAAAGTGCTCTGTCCCTGGCTGCTACTTAAGGCGTTCGTGGGGTTGGTGAACTCGCTCTCCCAAGCCTCTAGATCAGGGTATGTAGGCAAGCTACCACCCACCAGCCAAGACTGGGTGGCCCCATTTTTCTACAGCACATGAGCCAAGACCAGTGTGTATATTTTTAAATGATTGACCATGAATCAAAACATCACTATGTTGTGACACATGAAAAGCCTACTAGATTGGAATTTCAGGGTCCATAAATAAAGTTTTATTGGAACAGTCACGCTCATCTGTTTGTGGTTACCTATGGCTGCTTTTGCTTGTGGACAGAGCAAAGCCTAAAATATTTACCATGTGCTCACTTACAGAAATCCTTTGCCAACTCCAGCCCAACAGTTAAAGAGCTTAGCAAATTGTGTTTCCAGGAGATGGTGTGGGAGGAGGAGGCTACCTGGGCTAGAATCCCCGACAGCTGGCTGTGCAGCGGCTGCAACTATGCTCGTTTTCTTCCTGGGGAGCACAAGAGGGCTTGGTGCTGTAGGACCCCTAGGCAGCAGTGACTCCAGTCTGCTCAGTGAGGTAAAGACAGAGCTCTTGTCTTGGACAGATCCACACAGCCTGCAAGTCACCAAATTGAAAACTATGAATTCTGGGTCATTTTCATGTGGTCTAGCTTTTTTTTTTTTAAATTTGTATTATTGCAAAATGAACCCAGAATCCTTGTAGTGAGCTTACAAACACTCTTTCTCTAAAAATTTTTCTTGTGGAACAAGGTCTTGCTAAGTTGCTGAGTTAACCAAGCGCAGTTCAAACTTGTGATCCTCCTGCCTGCCTCAGCCTCGCAGAGTGATGGGATCATGGCCATGTATCGCTGTGCCTGGCTTCACGTGCCCCAGTCTTTTTGCTTATGTAGCCCCATTGTTTTAACCTTGGGTAAAGGAAATGGGCAAACTACTGAGGAAAACTGGCAGGGGATGATCACCGAGGCTGCCAGCCTCCTAATTCAGGCTTTCAAAATGGAATTTAGCACTTACCTCAGGTCTGTTGAAATTCAGCAGGCATTTGACATCTGTCCAGGTACTGTAGTAGCAGGGCAGAGGCTCTGCTGCCATTTCTGTTTTCTCAATACTTACCTGTGATTCTGTTTTCACAGTCCAAGGGATCACGGGTTGTTGGCATTGGCACGCCAGCCTGGGCTCTGTCACTATGGCACGAAACTAGCCTGCTGCTATGGCTGGAGAAGGAACAGCCGGGGAGTCTGTGAAGGTAATTTCTGCAAAAACTCAGAGCACCTTGCACTCAGGTCGGGATCTTTGAGTTTTATCTGTGGACAACTACAAATCCCCACGGTCTCAGTTGTAGCAAGGTCTTTCCCAGCAGAGTGTGGCTGACACCATCACAGTAGACATGATTCATGTTAGGAGACTGAATGTCATTCACCTCTGTTATGACATTAGTATGTGTAACTGGATTGTTTGGTTTTGTCTTTGCTTTTTCTTAATCTAGAGTTAGTGAAATGTAAAAAAACAAACAAAAAATTCCTTCTAATCATAGATTTTCTCAACTGGCTTCAAATGAAATACACATTTTATTAATCACCCAACCAGTATGCTCTGAACATGAAGAAGAAAGATTTCACCATATGGATTAACTACTCACATTTTTGAAGTCCATAAGGCTGGCTTCTAGTTGACAGTGAGAGACACATGCATATAAGCAAAGATTTTAAGTCTTTTTCAAATTCCTTTATAGAAATTGCAAATGAACCAACCATCATTTGCCTTGAGACTGTAAGACCAGCCTGCAATACTTTTAAGAAGGATGGAAAGGAGAGAGATGAGCATAGTTTCACCTTGTTTTGATTTTCTGTCTGACTCTCCATAATGACCAACAGCTGCAGTGCAAAGAAGTCAACTCTGCTCTCATCCTCGATGGCTCTCTAGTGCCCACTTTGGCAGCACAGATACTAGGTGACTCTGAACAGAGGTGTGCTCCAGGGTCAGAACCTGACTCCACTGTCCCTATGTCCCTAGCAGGTGGCAAATGCCCAACCTCAGTCCCTTATCTGCTAAGTGGGATAATATAATCACAAGTCCCATAAAAGCATGAGAAAGACAGAGAGAGAGAGAGAGAGACAGATAGACAGACAGACAGAGACAGAGAGACAGAGACAGAGACAGGCAGACAGACAGACAGAGAGACAGACAGAAAAACAGACAGAGAAGAAGGAAAATGTTAGCCAGCTTTAGGAATAAAAATGCTACCTTCTTTTGCTGCCAGCAACCCTCCTCTCTAGTTGTTCCAAAAATAACTGGTTTAGTCATGGAAGAAGGAAGAACTAGATAATGTCTGAAATCCACAAGATAGTGGAAGCCTTCAATGCTCTTTCCTCACACTCACTGCAGTCCCCTTGTGATGAGATGATAAGAGTGTGAAGATGCTAGAAAAAATAAGATTAGCCTGGCATAGTGGTGCACATGTAAAATCCCAGCACTTGGGAGAGAGGCAAGAAGATTGTAATGTCAACCCCAGCCTGAGAAACTTACGACTTAGTGAGACCCTATCTCAAAAAGAAAAAAAAAATAATGCTGGGTATGGTAGCACACACCTGTACTCCCAGCACCCAGGAGGCAGAGGCAGGAGGATCGCTGCAAGTTCAAGACCAGCCTGAGCTACAAAGTTCAAGGCCAGACTGAACTACATAGTGACACCCTGTCTCAAAAAAGACCAAAAAAACAAAGTCACTATTGCTCATTCAGATAAAGTTAGAACATCCTCCTGGGAATTGTCAATGAAATGGATGGATGAATCCTCCTCTTGGTTGGATTTACAAATGTGTTCACAGTCAACAGCATTGTCAACTAGACTGCCAGATGATGAGTGACCTTGGGCAAGGGAGGTAGGTCACTAAATGTCCACTTCCTCCCCTGCCACATGGCACAAGTAGTATGTACTTCAGAGGGTAGAGCATATAAGCATTATGACCAGGGCTTATGACCTGGAACACATAGAAAATACCCCATGAATTGCTATTTGAAGTTAGTCAGGTGGAAAGGGGTCAGAACCACAGGAGATGCATGATTTGCAACCTCTTACAGCCGCATGAACCTCCGTGCCTCCTGCCATAAAACTCGTAAGACCTGGCATGCTGCTGGTGCATAAATGAGGGTGAGCTCGGGCTCTCTGGAAGGGCTGTTCTTTAGCTAGATCAGAGCAATGTGGTTGCTGTATGCATAGCCAGTCACATCCTCAATCCTTCAGGACTATATATATATACACAGGCATGAAAGAATTTGAAGCAAGACTAAGGTCAGGTGCAGAGAGTTGAAGCGAAATGTTCAACATGCAAGTTTTGCAAGCTGCAAAGATCATTAGCACCTCCACTGCTCCAGTCAAATATTTAACTTTTAAATTGCCCAACTTTTGCATCTAAAGTATGGCACATTTTATTCAATTTGCATGGTTCTTCTGGATGGTAAAGTTATATGTTTGTTTGTTGTTTTTCTTTTCTTCCTCCTCCTTCTTCTCCTCCTCCTTCTTCTTCATACTAGAAAGTGAACTCAGAACCTTGCACTTGCAGTCAGATGCTTATGCCACTGAGCTACATCTCTGGCCCACTTTTTGTTTTGTTTTGTTTTTGTGGAACCAGAGATTAAACGCAGGCCCTTGTGCTTGGCAGGCAAGCACTTTTTTTACTGAGCCATCTCCCCAGCCCCACTTTTGGGTTTTTGAGACAGGGTCTCACTATGTAACCCATGCTGGCCTTGCACTCAGTGATCTTCCTGCCTCAGCCTCTGGAGTGGTAGGATTACAGGTGTGCACCACTATGCCGACCTAAAGTTGTACATTTCTTGAAGCACCTATTAACAAGGATCATTAGTCCATGGGCTCTGGGTTGCTGATTTCTAAGAGAGAGTGTGGGCTGCACAGTTAGGAGAACACATGTCAACCTAGTCAAACAGGCAGAGGCAGAGCACAGGCTGAGAGTCCCCAGTCTGCACAGGCCCTCTCTTCTATCCTTATATTTACTCTGTTTTTCTCAAGCCCTTGCTTCTGTGTGTGCTGGAGTTTTCCAACTCCTGGGCTCTACCCTGTCTAAATTTGTTCCCAGGATAGGGTCTGTATCAACTCTATATCATTAACCTTAAAATATATGTCACATTAGAGAGATGGAATAGGGAGTTGTCCACAAACAAATCCCTATTGAAAAACTACAGATGGAGGAGGTTTGGGGAGAAGTGAACAAAAAAATTCACTTTGTGGAACACATTCTTCAATTTCTGGCCATTTTGGACACAGGCTCAATTTTCCTTTGCTGTGGACTGGCTGTTCAAGTCACAGATCCAAAGTTAATGTAAATTGAAAACATCTTTCTGAAGCTTTGACCTTAGAGTGAAGGTATTATTCACCATTTCTCCTATGAACTATTTGGCATTTATCCTGGGCTTTCCTGTCTGTATCACACTGGAAGTCAGTATCTAGGGAACAATCAGAGCTCTTTAGGGCTTAAAACAATAAAACATTTATTTTTCTAACATCTGAACTTAAACTGCATCACCAAGTACACATCCATAACAAAATAGACACTGGAAATTAGAATCTATCTCTCTTGTCACTAAAAGTGGAAAAACATTGGAAAGCATTTTTTTCCTACCTTCTCAGTTATGATTTATCCAGGGCCCTAAAATGTTCCCCCGAAACTGAAAGTTCTATACCTATTTATTCATTACTCTAAAATATTTTACAAACTGTATAGCATGTTTATAGTACTGTCTCAGTTACTCTTCTCTCATTGCTGGGACAAAATACCCATCTCCCAAAACTAAGGCAGGAAAGGTTTACCTAGCTCACAGTTAGTGGAGGTTTCAGTCCATACTCAGCTGGCTCCAAGGCAGGGAGACACATGGCACAGGGCAGAAGTTCATGCCGGCAGAAAACAGCAAAACAGCAAGAGCAAAAAGGAAAGAGCAGTGGCTGTCACAGCGGAGGCAGGGAGCAGGCCTCTCTCCCTTCCTTATATTGCATTCTGGCTATCTGCAGATGTAGCACTCACACCCATAATCTTAGCATTCCATCATGAATTAATTACAAACTCCAGAAGCTGCCCCAGTGACTACATGAGGCTTTGGGGGAGGGAGGACACCTAGATATAAATCATACCAGGTACTATATTAAAAGCTGCAGGAAAAACAATGATGAATGTTAGGTCCCTATCCTAAAGATACTTAGAATCAAGTAATAGAAGTTAAGGATAGAAGCAAACTAGTGGCTAACTTTTGACTAAGACAAACACTAGTCAGTTACACTGGTCCATTTCACTATGGAGTTCCCAAAGCGGGTAGAAATTCATATGTGGCTGAAGAAATCTGCGAAGGCTCCAGAAGGTGTTCCTGGAAGGGTGGCTGGGACACTAACTGCTAACCGCTGGAGGGTAGGGGAGGAGTTCCCCAGGAAGAGGTAAAAGAGAAAGAAGCTGAGAGCAAAAGCTGGGTCTAGAAAACTTTGGCCATGGTGTTGGCTTTACATCTAGGAAGTAGTGGAAACGCATGGTAGAAAAGCAAACGAAGGCCATGTCATGGTGGGTTTGACTTGGTACTACATCCATCCTGTGTTCAGGAACCAACAGATCACATGAGGACTTTGTGTGACCATGTGACACAATCAGAGCTGTGTTCTAGGACCCTTCAGTATTGAATTTGATGTTACATTTCCTAGGAGCTAGGCCTGAAAAGGAGATTCTTGTAGAAAGATTCCACTGTGGGTGCTCTTAGAAGAAACCTAGAAGTGTGGAAGGAAGCAGGGAAAGAAACAGGCAGAAATATGGTTTCAGGAGAAACCAAGGGCCAGGGAGATGGCTCAGTAGAATAAGTGCTTCCCTGGCAAGCACAAGGGCCTGAGTTCAATCCCTGGTTCCACAAAAAAAAAAAGTCATAGGAGAAGCTGAGCCTCCTCACTGTCCTGCCCAAAGATCGGGGTATTAATTACACAGAAGTCCAGCCTGCCAGCAAACAAGGGGCAGGCCTTGTAGACCCTGCCCCAGTGAGGCCCCCATCACGGCCGTGGTGGGCAAAGCCAGGAGAGGAGCTCAGCACACTATGCCACACCTCAGGGGACACAGTCGTTTCCATTAACCACAAAAACAATTGTTCAGAGGCTCGATCAGTGGTAGAAACAGGGATAGAGTGCTGTAACTGAGTAATCTGGGGACAAGAATAAAATAGAGATTACTGAGATTTTTGAGAAGAGGAAACTGGGAGAAGGATGGTGACATTCACCACAACAAAAAGTAATCTGAGGTTAAAGGCTTTTGGAAGAGGCTTGCTGAGAGCTGGGCCTCCTGGAAGCCAGGGAATGGAAGCAGAGAATGTGTGGCCTTCCTGGGCAATGGCTGGAGGTCCCTTTCCTGAGCTCCTACTCAATGCAGAAATTGCTGAGAGCCCTCAGCACTCTCTGTGCCTCCCTGCTCTCTCATGTATCATTTATCTCCTTCACTTCTTCTCTTAGGGATTTTCATTTTTCTTTCTTTTTTTTTTCCTGTGTACTCCTTTTTCTTTCTCATCCTTTCCTGTGAGGTAGACTCATACAGCCATCATGGTTGACTCTATCTTGCTTTCCTCTAGGCCATTCCTCCAGGTATCCTGTAGTCTTTTCTTCCCAGTATACACTACCCCATTCTTCACAGTGCTCTCTAGCTTGTATTTCCCTAATACGTTCTAGCAGTTTCTACCAGTACTTTCTGGGCCATCCCATCCCAACTTACCTGTAGCCTGTTTCTCCTAGTATTTTTTTTGAGACAGGATCTCACTGTGTAGTTCAGGCTTCCCTTTAACTCAGTATATAGCCCAGGCTGGCATCAAACTCCTGGAGATCCTCCTGCCTCAGCCTCCCTGGGATTACAGGTGTGTGCCAATATGCCTGGCTTATATTTTCTTGTCCCCAGTTCAGTCAGTTACATTTTTATCTTGGTTATTTCTCCTCCTACATTATTCATTGACTATTGATCAAGTACCTACTTCGTATGAGGTGTTGCAATGCAGAAGTGAGTAACACAGAAAAGCAAATCCTGCCTTCATTATGCTACTTTGTGATGTCCTCCTCCTCCTCCTCTTCCTCCTCCTTCTCCTTTTCCTCCTCCTCCTCCTCTTCTTCTTCCTCATCGTGCTTTGCATTCCCATCCTAAGGGCTGGAGGCAGCACTCCCTTGCCTCTAATCTGTGGGTTCTTCAGTTTGACAGATAAGCACACCGTTAAAGAGTTTGACCACTCAAGAAAACTAGGAGAGAAAATATGGCAAAGGATAGAAAGAAGCAAAAAAAAAAAACCTTGGCACTTGCCCAGGGTTACTCTGGGCTCTCTGCCCTTACTCTTTGTGGCCACGTGCATGACTACCTGGTGGAGGTTGGGGAGGCACTACACTTCTTTGCACACCATGAAAGGCAGGAAGATGCTAAGCAAATGAGCAGAATAAGTGGTCCTTCGCTGAGGCTGGGCATGGGGATGATCTTGTGCCCGGAAACCTCTGTCTAGCAGCTGAAAGGGCAATGCGGACTAGAGAGCAGACAGGTCAGCTCTGTGTGGCCCAAGGCAGTCTCTGCCACCCGGAGAACAGCAGCCACTCGGGTGCCTTCGTGCTCAGCACGTCTTTTTCTTTCCCAGCCACCTGTGAACCTGGGTGCAAGTTCGGTGAGTGTGTGGGACCAAACAAATGCAGATGCTTTCCAGGATATACCGGGAAAAGCTGCAGCCAAGGTCAGTACGTGAGCCGGGGCCTGAGGGCGGATTCTGCCAGTGCAGAAGGGTTTGGGACAGAATGTAAAAAGAAATTAAAAATAAGTAAATTGTAAAAACAAACTGTAGTACACAGGATTTCTTAGGATATTATAATTGAATCTTCAAATGAACGTGTTTTCTGGATGAGCTTTTTTCAGCCAATCTCTTCTCTTGATAAATGTAAAGCTTGTGGTTTGTGTCCAAATGCCCAATAAAAGGGCTTTTCAAAGTACCTAATAATCTACATTTTCTATCTTTTACAAAACCCAACAATGCAGGAGGATATTAATGACAAAGTGAGAGTGCCCACCCCGAATTTTTATTATAGTCTAGCCAGCAGTTCTAGATCCTTTGAACCCTTTTCTCTGGCAAACTGTTCTCCAGGGCCATGGCCCTGACAGTGCTGGGCACCCTTGGACATGCTAAGGCCACCTCCTGGTCCCTGGCGTGCACACTCACCATCGATGAAACAAGTCATCCCTCCATGATCATTTCTGCTGCCTCAAAGTGTTGCCATTGGGCACAGCACTGAGCCAAGTACCATCCTATCCAAACTTTGTACTTGAGTACTTTTACAGGATGAATATGTGAGCATGGCAATGTCGAGTTGAAAGATGCTCATAGTCTCATAAGTCATACACTTTGAAAGACAATTGGTGGCATTTATCCTAGACTTTATCTTAAGGCCTTAAAGTGTTCATTTACAATATCTAGAACAGCGGTCTACAACTTGCATTGATTTTGTCCTCCAGGTAAAGTACAGATGCCCTCTGTATTTTAATAAATAAATTTAAATTTCAGATAAACAACAAATAATTGTATAATATATATCTGTTCTAAATATTTCATGGAATTGGTCATTTATTGGAAATTCAAATTTAACTGGAAATCCTGTATTTTTATTTGCCAAATCTGGGAACCTTACCCCAGGTTGAGTGCGTGAAGACATTTGGAAGGGGACCACGTAGTGGTTGGAGGCCACAGATGTCAAAAAACATCCTATAGTGCTGAGGTTGAGAAATCTTGAGAGCCTTTATGATATATAAAAATACCACCTTGGAGCAAGTTTGCACAGCAGATCAACAGTTTTGACTTAGTCACCCGGGGAACCCTTGGCAATATCTGGAGACAGTTTTGGTTAGCACGTTGGGTGTGAGAAATGCTGCTGGTATCTAACGGATGGACACCAAGGATCCATCTAAACACCCTGCAATGCATGGAGTAGCACTCTCCACACCAGTCAAGCATGCTCTGGGCCAGGTTCTGGAAGAGTGAGGTGGAAAGGTCACAAGTTCAAGCTCAAGCGAGGCAATTTAGCAAGACCCTGTCTCAAAATAAAGAGGGCTTGAGATATAGCTAAGTGCAAAGGTTCTGAATTCAATCTTCAGTGTCACTCAAAAAAGAATGATCTTAAGTGAAACATCAACAAAAGGTGAGAAACATTGCATGAACAAATCTGCACCATTAAAAACTATCCCCGATCCTAAGAGGATGCTGAGTAAAGAACAGCAAATCAAGTCTAGCTGTCCCTAAGAAAGGCTGCCATGGCTCCAGAAGGGAGAGTGGAAACTGAGCCACAGGCAGGCTTCCACTGCATCCTGCCCTCCCCAACCCTGACTGAGAAACCCGCAGTTTAGTTACACACATGGAGGTAGCCTTTCTGTGCTCCAGCAGCCCTGCAGCCTCCCTGGCTCTCATGTCCCTCTGGCCACGTGGAGATCGATTCGTGGCCCTAGAAGTGCTTCTTAGATCTCCACCCAGCTGCTTGAGAGAGGTTCATCAAGAATCATCCTCTACGGCCAGGTATGGCAGTGCATTCCTGTAATCCCAGCAGCTGGAAGACTGAGGCAGGAGACTTACTGCAAATTTGAGGCCAGCCTGGGCTACATGGTGAGTTCAAGGTCAGCCTGAACTATGTAGTGAGACTCTATCTTAAAAACAGCAAAAAACAAAACAAAAAAGAATCCTGTGTGTCTAAGTGATAGTTTAGCTGCATCCCCCACCACAGGTAGAACACTACAGAATTCAGTTTTCCATATATTTTGGATTCTATTCCAAGATACTTTCTCTCAGACTTGGAACACAGACCATATTATTCACTCCAGTTTTCTTTTTATTTTCCCCCCAGAAAAGGATTTTTTTTTATTCAAGTAACTGCAAATAGGAAACCAGAGGATAAGCCCCAGGCTGGGACAAATAATGGCCACTATCCCCAACAGAACAGGGGGAGCTAGTGGCCCCTACACCCTTCCATAAACGACATGACCCCTCCTCACTGTGCAGCAGCATCCAAGGCACTGCCCCACTTTCCCTGGGATGGGCACCCCCACCCCAACTTGGGGAGGGAACAGGGCAGAACAGGAGGCAATGAGGATGAACATCTGGCGCTGATGGCAGCAGCAATGATGAATGTCTAAGAGTGAAACATTGAACAAAAAAAACAACACAACTGTCCAGAGGTAGTTTGTGAACAGAGGAAAAGATGGAACCAGAACCTTGGGGAAGGGGAGCTGAGAGGTGGGGAGCATAGGGCAGGCTTGGTGTTGGCGCCCTCCCATGGTCAGCAGCTGCAGTGAAAGCAGGAAGGTGGGCACAAGCCTAGCCTTAGGCAGCTGCCAGAAGGAAGCTTGGCCTCACCCGGGTAGGTGAAGGCCAGCTACTCTCGAGGGTGTGGCACGAAGGGCAGGGCCTCTGACTCTTGCTCTTTCTTGTACCCCAGGAGGTGTCCAGCCTGGGGACAGACTAGGAAGGCTGGGAAGGCACAGGAGGGTGAGCCCTACTGGATAAGACTGGCTGGGGAATTTGGGGGGCCGAGCCTCCCCCACTGGCCACCTGGGTGCTACCGGCACAGTGGGGTGGGGCGTGGCAGTGTGAAATGGAGCAAGGACCCCTTAAGGCCAAGGGACCCCGGGGAGTGGCTAAGCAGATGTTAGCCTTGTCAGGAGGGCAAGTATGTAAGGGCAGGGGCTGCTCCGACCCTCAAGGCTACAGCGCTTGTGGGCTGTAGTGTGGGGCTGGGCGGAGTGACAGACGTGGAGCGGTGGGGCGGGACCAAGCTATCCTTCCAGGAGGAAGTCGCTCCTCTTGGGAGGGACGCGCGGCACTGTGTGTCACTGCTCCTCCTCGGAGGACTCCTGTGAGATGCCCTCCTCTTCCTCCTTCTCCAGTTTTTTTTGTGTCTACCCGCGTTGGTTTCCTCCCTGGAGCTGTGGTAGTTTTCCGGATCTTGGCAGCACCCTTGTTTTGGCTCTCCTTCAGTCAGCCCCAAGGTCTCTTAGGTGTTGGCACTCCACTGGGCTCCTTCAGGCTCACTGGAGGTTGCTTGCTTGGCCTGCCTCTGTCTCGCTTCTCAGTGCTGTCCTTTTCCCGCTTGGAAGCCAGGGGCAGGCTGGACTTGGAGCTCGACTTGCTCATCTTCCTTCTCTTCGGGCGGGTGGAGCACCGCTGGGATGGTCTTCTTGGAGAAGCGCCAGTGCGGGAAATAGCCCCGGCTAGGAGTCCCCTAGTTTTCAAGTCCCAGTGAAATATCAGCGCTGAAGAAGTGGTCCAGGTGGCTCTAGTTTGGGTCTGACTTTCCCCCGTAGCCCCCCTGCCTTGCTGCAGCGTGATCAAAGTTCACATATGTCCATGCAGGGTGACAGGCCTCAGCCCTCAACTGACACCTTTCCCAGCGGTGGTCCTTCCAAGAGACAAGTGAGTCCCCTTTGAGTTAGAGCTAAGGCATGGGGTATTCTTGGGTATGCCATGAGTTCCAATCTGCAGTTTTGGTTCTCCCCTCCTGCCTAAAACTGTTAGGATCTTGCTGGGGAGAGAGTGGCACAGAGGGCACAGGAAGGAGAAGGGACTTGCAAAGGTCCAGCGAGCGTGTTGGGAAATCCCATGTAAAGATTTTGTCAGGAGCAAAAGGCACGGAGTTGTGCATGGGACATGCTGACTTTTCATCTTCTGTGGAGTATGGCAGTTTTGTTTTTCCTTGAGTGACATAAGATTGGAGGCCCACACACAAGGCCACGTGTTCAAAAGCAAGATCCTCCACCCTTGATCCTTGTAAAGAATACAAATACCTCCAGTATTGTTTTTATTTCCATAAAACTGTTACAGTTCTCAGTGAGGGTCTTCTAAACTGTTTTTTTTGAAAGCACTGAAAACCACAGAGAAGAAAGACCCCTTCCACCTGAACTCCCCAACTTCTGGGTCACTGATTGGGACCTGTCCATGGCCAATTAGCAACAAGGCTGAATAGCAGGATGTGACCCTGGTGCGAACCAGCAAAGCTTCATCTATGTTTACAGCCACTTCCAGCTGCTGGAATTGCCACCTGAGCTCCACTTCCTGCTAGATCAGCTACAGAACTAAATTCTCCCGGGAGTTCAAAGCCTACAGTGAACTGTGCACATGAAGTATCTCCACTGAGGGTTCCTTTAAATCAGCGCAGACCAACTACCCACTACCATCCCACCCGAACTCCCATCTATGGAAAAATTATCTCCCACAAAGCTGATTCCTGGGGCCAAATTGGTTGAGGATGGCTGCCCTAGCTCTTACCGGCTAAAGACAACCTTGGTTCTCATCCAGAGCACACCCTCCCTTTTTTCTTATACATTTTTTGTTTCTTTCTTGTTTTACAAATTTGGGACCCATCTAAACATACAGGCTTGTGCTCTTCTCTTACCACTTATCAACATCCTGTGAATCTCTTTACAAAGGATTAAATGTCCTCTGTTCTCACACGCACCTGCCTGACAGGGCTCCCTCTAGAACAGTGTGAGCCAAGGCAACCAGGCCAGTCCAAAGCCACCCAAAAGAACAATGGGAAGGAAGCTGTGCTGTTGACATCTGTCACAGGCTGCCTGGGAAGGCATTCAGGGCAGACTTTTCGAAGTTGAATATTTCTAACTCTTTAATTCCGGTAGTGTACACATAGAATTGTGCAGATATCAAGCATGTATGACTCAATACATTTTCACACACCCATGTAAACTAGTATTCAAATAAAAAAGTGCAGACTTAGCAGTCACCTCCCCAGGTAATCTCATGCCCCATCTAACCAAGTCCGCCCACCAAAGAAAATCATATCTTGACCTCATGTATCAGATTAGCAGCACCTATTTTTTTACTTTACATAAATGGAGTAACAGTACCTAAGTGTGTGTATCCCCCACTTCATCCACTCAGTACCGTGTTTGTGAAACTCATTTCACAGCATGGTAGTATACCACTGCATGTGTATACAAGTCATTGATCTATCCTATTGGGAAGTACTTGGATTAATTCTCACTTGGAGCTACTAAAATTAGTGCTACTAGGATTATTTTAGTAGATGTTTTTGGCTTTGGTGAGCACAAATCCACAATTCTGTTACATGTGTACCAGGACTGGAACTGCTAGGATACAGATATGTCTGTTTCTAACTTTAGAGTCTGCCAGTTTTCCAAAGTGTTTCTACCAATTTCTGTTCCCTCTCCATGATGAATGATCATTCCATCTACCTCACATCCCCACCAGTCCCTCATGATGGCACTTTGCAGTAGGACAAGGGGCAACCAGGGATCAGGAGAAGCCGGCCCAGTTGTCCTTCCCTGGGTGGCTTCTAGTGTTCACACCTGGAAGCTTCTCCACCTGCCTAACTTTTCTCCATTTCCAACAACCCCGGCAGATGTGAACGAGTGTGGGATCAAGCCCCGGCTGTGCCAGCACAGATGTGTGAACACACACGGCAGCTACAAGTGCTTCTGTCTCAGCGGCCACACTCTCATGCCAGATGCAACTTGTGCCAGTAAGTCCAGCAACCAGGCCACTCTTGGCCAATGTTTGAGCCTTGGATTTTGTCCCTTGATGCACTGGAAAAGGCTTTGGTGACTGCTCTTTTCAGTCTCCAATAATGCTCCCGGGACAAAGCATCTCAGGCACTTCCTTTTAAAAAATTATGGTAAAATATCTAAAATATGAAGTTCACCACTGTACTCATTTTTAAAACGTGGCAGTCACTGCATCCACAATGTTCTGCAGCCATTACCATGGCTTTGACCCAGAAAGAATCCCAGCCCCATCAGCAGCCCTTCCCCACGCTCCCTCCTCCCGGCCCTCAGCAGTCACTAATCTGCCTTCTGTCTCTGACTGTCCTCTCACAGACACTTACTTTACAAAGCAAAAAACAGACAAACTGGGAGGAAAATAAATGATGCATCTAGATCTGCACTCCATTAGGCAGGCCGCGGTGAACTCCATCATGCAGCTGAGCACCCTGGCTAGCAGGCACACGCTGTCTTGAGGAGGCGACACATTTGCATGCCATCTCAGGCCATCAATCCTCCCCACCAGCTACCTTTCTCACGCCCCGGGCCCCACTGCCACAGATTAGTGGCTCCCACTGGAAATGCTTTCTGACTCACATTCCTGAAAAGAAAAGCCCTTCTGTGATAAAGAAGCACCCAGGGCCTGTGGGGGGGTAAGAGTCTGCTTCCATTCATTTATGGAGCGGAGAGGCTTTTCAGGTTTTAGGTTGGTTTTAGGTTGCGGCTGAAAGGCAAGCCCACACCCCCTGCCTGCCTCCCCCCCCCCGCCCCCTCCTTGCTCTCATCCCTCTTTTCTCCACACTGCAGCCCCCAGCAAACCCAGCTTCCTATGTTTACAGAGTCACAGGGCATAAGCCTCCCACCACCGTCCCCTCCCACCACCGTCCCACCCCACCCCCGCTCATCCTGGGCTTTCCCAAGGTTATAACATCTTCCCTCATGCATGGCTCACTATGCCACAGCTCCTCGTCATGTCCCTCTGTGGCAAGGCACCCCCACACCACTGTCACTCAGCTCTTTCATTAGCAAAGCAAGCCCAAGAAATAAAGCAGCCATTTGAAGTGTCATGTTTTCAAAATCGGTATTATTATAAATTATACAAAAACTCACAGGAAGCAAACATATAGCTCGATGAGTTCTTACAAAGCCAGCACCCTTGGGAGGAAAGCCAAGTAGAACTCCACGAGAGCCTCCTCCCCCACCCCTCCCCAAAGGGATCCCCTGCCTCAGCTTTGATAGTGATCGCTTCCAGTTTCCAAAAAGATAGACACTATGAGTGCTTCTCAAATATTCCCTGAGGGTTCAGTCAGTGCCAAAAGCAGATTTCTTTCCCAAATGGGCAGATAGAGTTATGTTAATTTTTTAAAGTTTAAAAAAGGATGGCCAGGCCAGGGGATAGCTCAGCAGCATAAGTACCTGCCTGGCAAGCACAAGGGGCAAAGTTTGATCCCCAGTGCCACAAAAAAAAAAATGAGGATGGCTAAAGAACAAAGAAGACATGAGTCATATAACCCTCACTATGTGCTTGCCAAGCCACTCCGCTTCTGCGCCCCCTTTATGATTCCGTATGTCTACTGTTACCTATGCTCCCTGTCTGTAGCTTAGTGTCCAGGCAACCCAAGACTTCTCTCGTGGCCACTGGTTGTAGTCCACCTGGCCCCCTCACAACCGCGTTTGTCCCACTCAGTGATGACCACGCTGTGAGAGACAGTGGATGGAGCCAGCGTACTCACTGCGCTCCTTTGTTGTGCACACTGGGCTGGGAACATAGGAATATTTTAACCCTCATCGATTTATGACCATGTCTACTGGACTTCTGCGAAAGAAGTTATATTTAACAATAATTAACAGAAAAATCCAACTACATTATCTCATTTACTGAAAATGCTGGAGACCAAGCAGCCCTATGGCAGCTGGACAGGGACTCAGTCCCTGCCATCCTCACAGTCCCGATCTTATGCTTGTGGCCTCACAGTGGCAGTATAGCTGTGTCGGCTCCATATGTCATACACACATCAAAGATAGGCAAAACGCAGGGAATGGAAGTGACACCAATAAACAAATAGCATTTTATCATGTAGCAGTATCTTTTTCCAACAGCCCCACTTCCTCCAGTGGAGTTCTCACTCTATTGCTTTGGCCACACTAAGTCACATTGCCACTCCTTTCCATGAGGGGAGCTGGGAACAAGACTAGCATCTGGTTTTGCAGCCCCCATGGTGAGAATGGCAAGAAAAAAATGGGTCCAGGCTGGCTGCTAGGCAGCTGATCAGCGGTATCTACCATATATTTTAATACAGATACCTGAAAGACCAAGTCTTGCAACCCAGTGACTCTCATTGAGGGTATATAAGTGTGAAGAGAGCTCAAGAATGGTTTCTTTGACCACTAGCTCAGACTGACAACTTATACAAGCAGTCATCTTTTACCTCAGAGAGGTCAGCTGAATGACATAAAGGAGTGACCCAAGCACACACAATAGGAGAAATGGATGCAGTCAGAGAGCTGGATGTCCTACCTACAGGGTCAGTATCTCACTCAACAAAATAGACTACAGGCATGCTTCAAACTGGGGCCACCAAGACATCAACCGCTGCCCTGATTCCTTTGGGGTTTCCACTTGGGGGTCACAATAAGACTTGTCCTTGAATGCTTTTCCACAGGTTGCATTTAATGTCTCAGAATCCAGAGAAACTTTCTTAGCAAGCATGCCTGGCATCTCAGGAGGCACAGGTTAATCCTGGTCTACTTTGCAGACTCTCGGACCTGTGCCAGGACCAACTGCCAATATGGCTGTGAAGACACAGTGGAAGGACCTCGATGTCTGTGTCCATCCTCAGGACTCCGGCTGGCCTCAGATGGCAGGGTGTGCTTAGGTAGGACAGCAGCTGCGGTCTCCACTTCTCCTCCTGCCTTGATTCCTCCTTTACTGAGTGACTTCCTTTTCATACATCACAGTCACCTTGTTGGCCAGACACTGAAAACTTCCAAGAGTATGGATGTGGGCCCATTTCTGAGGTGATGTTCATAGTCATTTATGCTCTAAACATACTTGGGGATGCTAGAAAGAACACTTTTAGAGTATTCTGCATTGCTTAATGCCACAGTGGAAAAGAAGATAAAAGTAATTTGGTATATTGGCCCTGCACATTTACTTCATGTACCACCCACTAGAAACTCCACTATCCACATGTCATCCCTCAGTGATTAAGACCTTAAGGCCATGGAGCTATATTCCAAGTTCAAGAAAATATTTTCCCAGAAAAAAAAATGTATTTACAGATTTCTGGACGTAACATTAGTGAAAATAGTATATATCTTCCACACTGTTTAACTTAAATTAGCAAGTAACCAATTTCCCCAAGAACATTTGCTCTAAATTACACAGGCTAAGTATTCCTTAATGACTTTTGACTGGAGAAAATGAGCAAACTAAGTCAACAGAACCCACAAAGCCTTTTGGGTTTTGTAAAAGCCATAGCATAGAACTTCAGTCTTTTGCTCAAGTTTCCTATTTTGTGTCTGAGTTTTGAGTTCCACAGAAGCTGAGCAAGAAGTTAGTTGGTAGGGGAGGTAATCTCAGGAAACCCCAGGTGAGGAACAGAGCAGGGACCCAGGGGAAGGCAGGCACTGGCACTGGGTGAACTCAGTGAGCAGATTAAATGAGCTATGGGCACCTCTGGAACACTGGGGAGGCTGCTCTGAGCTTTTCCTCCAGGGCAGGGGATCTTCTAGGTGTGACTCCATCAACTCCTGCCCTTCCCTGATGGGGAGCTTGTCTGGGGCATGACTTGCCAGTACTCCCAGCCCAGGCCAGGTAGGGACTGGAACAGAATGTCACAGGCCCAGCAAGCAGCTTGTGGCAGCTTGTAAAGCTGAGAGCTAAGAGCTTCTGACTGAGGCAACCACAGGGCACCCTTGGTGGCTGAAATGATACTATACATCTCGTGCTTTGGGTCTTTTGCAAGTCTGAATTATGGGCATCCACCAAACTGTGCATACTCACAGCAGTTATACTGTATTGAATCATTATACTTATAACAGTTGCACCAAATGCACATGATATTAGATGCATATAATAGGCCAAGTGTGTACAAAGCCTCAGTAAGGAATGCCAAACCAAACCAAACCAGAATGTTGAAACAGTTCTTAATCTTTTTAGGTTTTAGTATCAAATAGCAGGATAATTTAATAATCTTCAAAGCAATGGAAATATTTTTCAGTCAAGGTACTGGATGTTTATTTATCCTAATATACATTTGATGAGCTGCATTTAGTAAGCTCAGCCAAGTAGGTCCTAAGCAAATTAAATACTTTTTAAAACTATATGTGTAGGGCCAGCTGGGGATATAGCTCAGCAGCACAAGTGCCTGCCTGGCAAGTACAAGGTCCTGAGTTTGATCCCTGGTATAATATTGTGTGTTCTCTTTGAAAGTAATCAAAGATTGAATTAGAGCCACAGAACTTAGTACTCTTTAGTAAAATAACACTTACAGGACAAGGCCGAATGTTGGCCAAACCGAATCCAAATGTCAACCCACCTCTTGGATTTGTTGGGCACCATTTTAGCCACAAAGGCAAGAGAGGTCATAAAAGTGATCACTGAAAAAAAAATTTTTTTAAATTTTTAAAAAGTGACCACTGAATAACACTTTTGGCCAATCCAATACTTGCTTGTTGTTTTAAGGATGCAAGAGGAATAATAAACCCATACCTGCTTGCATTTTCAACCATAGTTCTGGAAGGACAGCAAAAAGACTAGTTAAAGCAGAGCTTGAGTCGGTGATGAGTCAACAGCAAATGGTCAGCCCCTTAGAAACTCCACTCTCAATGGTGGGAAAGGGCCACACCTATTGTGGGCTAACATTACATCATTACATAGTTACCCTTGTTGCACAGTGTATGTAGAAGTGGGTTCCTACACGAGCACATTTCTGTGCTTTCGGTCAGTACTACAGAATGCTTGGAGGAGCTTGAGAATGGCCTCATTCCTTTCTAAAATGTAAGTCTTAAATGTACATTTGGTTTGCTAAAAGTAGCTGTTTTCCAAACTTGTATGTACTGTGTGATAGAATAGCAGAGGAAAATATTTACTCACTCATTGCACATATGATGCATGGATCCCAAGTACCAGACACACACACCCTGCCCCAGAAGACCTGGGGCCACAAGCCAGCCAGATAGCTTAGTGGATTAAAGCACCTGCTTAGGCAGACAGACCAGGGTTCGATTCCCAGGGTGCTGTGCCAGTCCTTTGCCCGGGGTACACTGAGATGGCAATTGAGACTGGGCATGGTGGCATGTGCCTGTAATCCCAGCGCTTGGGAGGCTGAAAACAGGAGAATCACTATGAGTCCGATCTGTGTAGTGAGACCCTGTAGACGCTGTACTAAATACATAAGAAAAAAAGACCTGGGGCCTGACATGAGAGTGATGTGACTATAACTAGTGACATTACAGGGATGTAACGCTGTTAGGAAAAGATGTGAATGCGGGTATGAAGACATTAAGGGAAGAGCTGGGTGTGTGCATGGTTGGGATCTAGAGTACTTGCTGAAAGATAGCATACTGGCACCAGATAATCGGTTCTCCTGGCAAGGGGACTGCGCATGTGTGTGCTCATTCCATACTATGGCTGGGGCTGAGTGTGTTGGGGCTACTTATTTTGACATTGCTGACATCTTCTGATTCTACACCCTAGATATCGATGAATGTGCCTCTGAGAAAGCCGTCTGCCCCTACAATCGGAGATGTGTGAACACATTTGGAAGCTACTATTGCAAATGTCACATTGGGTTTGAACTGAAATATAGCAGTGGTCGATATGACTGCGTGGGTAAGATCTAGTGACATCTTTTCCTTTTTTCCTCCTTCCCCCAAACCTATGGGCTTTCTATGCAGGTATTTTGGTGTCAGTTCAGTCTGCCAGTTGAGTCATGTACTTTAGTGACAGCTTAACACAGAGAAAGGCTTGCATTAAGTTTCTGGAATTTAGAGACTCCAGTGACAACAGTTATGAAGTCAGGTCAATAATGACTCAAGCAATATAGTTCTACTGTGAAGGGTCACATCTTGAGATAATTTGGGGAGATTTTTTTTTTCATAGTTTTGATTCTGCCTATTACACATACAAAATGAGAATAATAAAGCAATATTTATATTTGGTAAAAGGAAGACTGACAAGATCTCAGTGATCTGTTCATAGTTTTTCCAGTAGGGTGGCTTTAGAAAAGTAAAGGGCAACCAGGTTTGGTGGCACACACCTGTAATCCCAGCACTCGGCAGGTTGAGCCAGGAGGATTTCTGGGAGTTTAAGACCAACCTAGGAGCTACAAAAGTGAGCACAAGGCCAGCCTGAACTTCAGAGTGAGAACCTATCTTTTTAAAAAAAGGAGACAAGAACATATGTTCTTTCCTCTCTTTTTAGTCCTCTCATAGTTTGAGCTCCAAATAAAATATTCCTTTTCAAAAAATAAAAATAAAAATAATAAATAATAAAATATTCCTTTTCCACAGTAGCCAAAAATCACCCTCTGATAAGATTCTGGTTCCTGATTCTGGCTTAAGCTGTGTGATATAAGATATTTTATCCTTCAGTTAAGGGACTCCATGTTTCAATGAGCTCAAGAGGCAGGATGTTTGGAGAGGCCCCTTCGAAGAGTCTCCTTACCTTGTTATACTGTCCCATTGTGAAATGTGGACCCCCTCTAGATTCCTGTTCACATAACTTGTTTAACAAAGGTGTGTTCATAACATGGAAAGCTAACAGTTGGGAAAAATAGGATTTCTTTCAACCGCATGCTCAGGACTTCCCAGGACGAGTCCTGGATAATCGTGTTGAGGCAACACTCCATTACTGAAATTTGAACCATCTTGTGAAATCTCCACAGCTCTTGCCTCCAAACTTCTCAAACACAGCAACTGTCAGAGGCAGGCTCAGGGCATCCATGTTTATCATGAACTCTGGCCTGTCCAGCTTTGTGCCCTGATGCCTGTGTTACAGAGTGTGTGCTTACTCCCTGACACCCCTAGGGAAGTTCCACAAGTCGAGCTGGAGAGTGACACAGAGCGCGTCATAATTCCCAAGGAATCAAGTCTCTGAGGTTTTCAAAGTGATTAAGATTAGCATCTAAGCTCGTTTGGTAGATGAATAAAAAACAATAAGCCATTTTATGGACCGCGTCTACTAATTCATAGATAGAAAGCAAGATGGAGAGTGGAGCAAATCAACCTCTCACTTGGGTTGAATTTGGCAACTTTTCCACCTCGAAATCCAGCAGACGAGCTCAGACCAGCCTGACCCTTTCTTCCGAGAGGCTTTGAACAAAAGGCCTGTGCCTCTGAGTTCAGATGATGTCAGTGGTTCCTGGCTGGTCTTGTCTTTTGTTTGTTAGGAGTTGCAAGCCCTTCCAAATATAGAATTTATTTTCCAATGTTGTCATTTAGTTTTCAGTTAGATAGATGAAAAGTTAAGAAAAAAACTCAAATATGGTACAGATTTCCAGGCCCGGGATAAGTGGGAGATGCGCGGCTGTGGGGAGGTAAGCTGCAGACTCGCTGCCCCTTACCCGGCAGGCGGAGTCAGGCAAAGCCAGGGCTCTGGGCCAGCACCTCTCTCTTCTCAAGCAGCTCTTGATTTGCTGGCAGTGTTGAGTGATTGGGCTTGGAGTTGCTGGAGTGTAAGGGCTAGTCTCTCAAGAGTCCTGTTATCATACTTGTTCACTGAGATGTTCACGTTTCAGATATAAATGAATGTGCAGTGAGTATCCGTGCGTGTACCCCTCATGCCAACTGCCTTAATACCCAAGGATCCTTCAAATGCAGGTGCAAGCAGGGATACAAAGGCAATGGATTTCAGTGTTCTGGTAAGGAGCGTCCGGCCAGGGTGGTTTTGCTTTGTGACTGCTTCTTCCCTCTATTTCTCAATCTCTCTCTCTCTCTCTCTCTCTCTCTCTCTCTCTCTCCATCCCTCCCCTCAAACTCTGCCTCTGTCTTGCTTCCTTTGTTAGTTCAGGCGTATTTTTAATACTCAGTGAAGTTGTAGTCCAGTTAAAAACTAAAAGAACAGCAAGGGTCCGTCATATTTTTCTGGTCACAACATACTTTCAAAAAGGACATTCAAATTGGTTAGGATAGATATATAGTTACATTCTCTTAATGAATAGAGGGATTTGTTCTAATGGTGTTTGTAAATAGGATATCATGTCCGCATCTTGTACAGCAGTGAACCACTAGGAAGAATGTATGCAATGTGTTGATTATTGAAACTGTCTTACCAATTTGGTTTGAAACTGTCTCATTGCTATTTGTTTCTCAATAAAATTATGGGGAAAAATAAAATAATAAAACATAAAAAAGAAATATAAAAAGGACAAAAGACAATGAATGAATTTATCTATCAGGATAGACTAGGGTATGGCATAATAACAAGCAATCCTTTAGGGTGAATCAGGACTTTTCCCATTATGCACTGTTGAAGCACAGTATGTCAAAGTGGAGTGCATGGCTTTGTCACAATCAAGCCTGCGTTCACATTTTTGAATGTATAGTAAAGCATTCCATTGTTCTTGCTGGTGAATTCTTTAATGATTATGAGTTAAAACCTTAAATTTATACTATATATACAAGTATAAAATATCACTGCTGCTAACAACTGTAAGAAAGGTCTATTTCTTATGTGTGCTATGTCCAAAGAGAGATTTTAGGAAATTTCTCTTCATTATAATGACTTAGGTCCCAGGTTGACGTGACCTGGCCACTTCATGGCACAGGGGCATCAATCCAAGGCCTTATGGTTCATCACAGCAAGAAAAGAAGCATAGACAATCATGTACTAGATCTTAATTAATTCACCTTGGAAGTATCTAAGTTTAGGGAGCAGAATGATCTAATAATAAACCTGTCATATACCCTGACAAAGAAGAGACTTAGAGAGCACAGTCAACTCCCAGAGTAAGACAGCTCTGGTCACAGAGGCAGGCCCTCCCCGGTGAATGGTGTCTCTTAGCAGCTAAAGTCGGCTCAGCTTGTCTCTCCAGTCATGTGCTCATGTTTCTTGTAGAAGCTGACTCATTGTGACTATACTTGTTTACTTCCCTGCCTCAACTATCTCATGCATCCCTTAGCAGAGTTCTCTCATGTTCCAACAAGTATGGCTACAAGTTGTACCCTATCCTGTGTCACACACCATGCCCCTATGCAGTCAGTGTTCCTGATGGTGCAGAGAGCATCCACTCACTCATACAGAAGTGAGCTGTGTGCACTGCACCAGATGTTAAGCAGCACACTCACAAAAGGCCATAGTACCCCATGGGCTGTGGTTGAGTGCCACTAAGCAAGAGTGTGTATAAAAGAATCTAGCCAAAGAAAATGAGTCTAGAAGTCAAGTTCTATGAAGATTTGCCCAAAACAGGGTAACCTGTATATTGGGAAAGAAATAGTGTACAAAAGTTTAAACTGCACCTGAAAATATTTTATGACAAGTGAAATAAAAGTAGCTTCCCACAGCTGACTAAGATCAATGGGCAAAGGTTATATTCTGTGTTCAGAACAACTGCTGGGAATCCAAGAAGCGAATAGGAAGCCCCATGGAATAGATATTCCTCTGCTGCAGGCCTTTCAGCTCTGGACTCTGGGCCTGACTGTTCAATCGCCAACCAGAGAGAGAAAGAAAGAGAGCGAGAACAAGAGCAAGAGAGAGAGAGAGACAGAGACAGAGACAGAGACAGAGACAGAGACAGAGACAGAGAGACAGAGACACAGATAGACGGAGATGCAGAGAGAGAACAGAGAGGAAATAGAATAAATCAACTTTCCATATTTAACAAGTGCTCAGGAACCTAAACCAATGCACCTTCTCATTCCATGAAATTTGAACATGTGCGTCCAGGCCTGACTTTAACTCTGAGCTCTTTAACTCTTTTAAACACCAGTTCAGCAAGCGACCTCTAGCAAGTTGCTTAACCTCTGAGCTCAGTTGCTTCCATCCATCATGCAGTGCACTTTGAGTGCTTGTGATGGGGCCGGCCACAGCCCCATTGGAGCTCTGGCAGTCCAAGCAGCGGGGTAGACATTTCAGTACCATGGACTTTCCCTGTATGGTGGCCTCAGGACTTCCTCTATTTTTTATATTTTTCTTTAAATTTTTAATTTTATTGATACCTCTGCAATATATAATGATCACATTCCTCATGGGGAGTTGGGGGGGGCTGCCCATTAGCTCAGTTGTTTAAGTCACTGCTTAAACAGAGCAGTCAGTCTCAGGTTGCTGTGGTTTGATCCCCAGATGCTCAAGCCAAACCAGACCTGCCCTGAAGGCATCCTGAGCCAGCACCCCCCCCAAAAAAAAAACACTTCATGGGGAGTTGGTCCACGTCTATAACATATCATCATTCTGTTTAGTCCTTTCCCCCATCCCACCTCCTCCCTACATGTCTTGGTCTACTTCTCTATTTGCAAAAGATCTGTGTCATATTACCTATCTTTCATTTTTCCTTTAATTATTTATGCTTTGAATTTCTCACATAAGATGATATTTAAGCATGTGTGTCTGCTTCATTTCAGTTAACATTATTGTATCAAGGTGCACCCATTTTCCTACAAATTACCCAAATTTAGCCCTCCTATGGAAGAGTAGTACCCCACTGTGTGTAAATACCACCTTTTCTTTATCCACTCATCTGCAGATGGACAGCTAGTCAGCTTCCAGGATTTAGCTAGTCTGGGTTGTGCTGCTACAAACATGGACACTGGAGCTTTTTCTGAGAGGCTGTTCAGCCCCCTGCAGGTGCAGCCCAGACGCGGGGGAAGTTAACAGCTGAGGGAAACCTTCCCGCTAGTGTGGGACTGGGTCTCTGGATAGACACCCCACCTTCCCCCTCCCAGGGCAGGGCATTTCTGGGGTGTATTCTACACCAGATCCCAGATGTCCTCAGTGGGACTGAGCCCCAGTTACCCACCCATTTACTCACAGTAATTGAGTGATCGGTGGGTAACCGCCATCTTTTAACTTTTAACTTTTCTCTCTTCCTGGCTTGCTGTCCCCTGCTGGTGCCTCATGGAATTGCCTCCAATGTAAACCAGCTGTGCCCAAATCCTTGTCTCAGGTTGTGCTTGGGGGAACACACACTCAGAGGAATGCCTCTTTCCAAGGTTCATCATAAAGATCAGATGAGGTAACAGTTTCTGGGTATGTAGCAGACAGTCAAAGAGTGATCCATGGTTATTCTTGTTATTAGTATCATTTCAACCTACTGTTAAGAGCCAGCTAGTCTACTCTGAGATGGCGTAAAGGCAAATGAAAAATGCCGTGCAAACATAGTGGCACCCTCAGGAGAGTGGGCACCACTCCCTTGTGCCCTTTTCTGCCCCCAGGCCTAAGAATTGAAGACGTTTGAAAGAATTCCCCAGAGTAAAGCTGGAGTCATTTCCCTCTCTTTTGATCCCTGGGCCACCAAGCTGTGCTATTGAGGCCCACAGGAAAGCGACCTCTTTAAGCATGCCACTGGGTCCTGGAGTGCTGCCCATGTTTTCTATATAGCAACCCAGTGCTCTGAAATCACAATTAAATTTCACTTTAACCAAAGGTTTCTTTTTCATTTTTTTTCCTGTTTGTTTGTTTATTCTGAGACAGGGTCTCACTGTTAGTGCATGTTGGCCTTAAACTCACTGTATCCCAGGCTGGCCTCAAACTCACATATGTTCTCCTGCCTCAGACTCATATGCCCCTCAACTGCTATTATACGATATAGAACATTGATGTCACAACATTTTTTGGCAATGATGGGGTTAAAACAAAGGGTCTTGGGCTGGGGATATAGCTCAGTGGCACACTGCCTGCCTGGCAAATGTGAGGTTGTGAGTTTGATTCCTGATACCAATAAAGTAAAATAAAATAATATAAAACAAACAAAAAAAACCCAGGGCCTTGCACATGCTAGAGGCCTTACTCTGCCACTGAACTATATCCTACTCCTTCATGTGTGGCTTTTATCATGAGCTTATTGTTCTGAGAAACTCGGACTCTACACTATAGTAATGAAGAGACAGTAGAGTGTCCTTACATACCACCTGTACCCCAGGGAAGACTCACTCTCAGTGCAGATATGTCTATTTTTAACTATTCTCAGATATGAGTCTTAATAATGAACCACTAGATATTTTAGTCCTGATTTGACATCAGCTATCCTGAATTCTAAGAAATTAAAACCTAGACAATATCCTATTAAGGGAAAATACTCAATTTAGAAATGTCACTGGGCTATTAGGAGCACAGCTTTTGGGATCAGATTACTTTAGCTTGACTCCCAGATCCCTGGCTTCCTGCCTGTGGACTGAAAATAAATTATTTATCCTTTCAATGCCTCAGTTTCTTTCTCTGCAAAATAGGAATAATAGAATCTAGCCATTCATATTATTTTCAGGATTAAATGCAATAATCCATACAGTATAAACAGATGTTCATCTAGGGGGCTTCACTCCAGCCCACAATACATTAGGTGTTCCATAAGCATGCACTAGTATTGGAGTAGTGATGGCAAAGGTCTTTTAAAAAAAACAAAAACAAATCTAACAACTGTTCCCACTGCAGAACAACTTAGTAATTGCTAGTGCACTTGGCATTGTATATAGAGCTTATTTAAGAAGATGGGTTGGGTACAGCCAGGCCATCCTATTTAATGAGTCTCTACTAGAAATTTACAGGTAGGGCCTGGGAATTTTTTTTTTTTTCATTTTTTGGTCTGTTTGAAACAGAGTCTCTCTGTGAAGTTCAGGCTGCCCTTGAGCTCACTTTGTAGTCTAGGCTGGTCTCAAACTCACCATGATCTTCCTGTCTCAGCCTCCCAAGTGCTGGGATTCCAGACATGTTCCACCGTGCCCAGCTTTGGGAATTTTATTTTTAACTCAGTAAAAGATTTTTAATATTTTGGTGGTGATTTCTAAAAAAGAATAGCAAAGCCATGCTGAGTATGTTGACAGTACCTCTGTTAGTAAATGGTCCATATTAGGTCATTAAACCTCACCATTCTTACCCTGCTTTTGTAAATGGGGAGATTGATGCTAAGAGACGTGAGGGACTAGTTTGATGACATATGGGCAAAAAATGGGAGTGAGGAGTCAAATCCAGGATTGAGTGCTCAAGCGCATGAGAGGTGTGTTCACGCCATGATGGAGAAGGTTTCTGGCCACCTCCAAGGCCAACTCTCCAGGCGCAGCTTTTGTTCCCTCCTGACCTTCCCTGGGTCCCACAGTGCAGTAGCTTCCCACCGTGGTTGCCAGTCCTCCCAGGGTTGAGGCCACAGCTCAGACTGGGAGGACACTTTTCCTGGCAGATGATAGGGGTTCGTCTGATGGGCTAAGCACAGGTGAATGAATGTCAAAGTCCTATTCCTCTTGGGAAAGATAGTCTCACTTAATAGTGATCTCCATTAATAAAATCTATCCCAAAGCTATGGAGTTAAAATTAAGATTTTCACATAGGTAAATGTTGGCAACAGAGTGAACATTTAGAAAAATCTTGGGGACGGGAGAGATGGCTCAGTGGAATAAGCGCTTCCCTGGCAAGCACAAGGGTCTGAGTTCAATCCCCGGTTCCGAAAAAAAAAAATAAGAAAAAAAAAGAAAAAGAAAAGAAAAGAAAGAAAAATCTCTATTCCCTCCCAAAAGGCATTGTCAACTTCAGTCACAAGACTGGCCCATGACCTAAACATTTTGGCATTCCCTGTTTGTGTGTCTGAGTTCTCAAACATACCAAAGACTCTTCTATGGCAGCTTCCTCCCACATATTTTATCCCAAAGAGAGGATGCAGTAATTAAGAACTTCGAGAGAAAACAGTCATCAGTGACGCCAAGTTTGAAACAATGGTACCCAGATACAACCAAATCCAATTAAGCATATCCTTAGACTGCAGTTTTATCTTTGTTTGGCTTTGGATTCCTCTTTGCATACAAAGGGAATGAAGTTATTGATACAAAGGTTATGATGTTTTGATTTTTTTTCTTTTTTCAAGAGGAAAATTTGAAACTTCAAAGTGAAAAACCAAAAGCAGATGTTTAGCATTGCCTGGTGTGGGCTGAAACCCTCTCCTCATTATTTATTAAAGGTCCTCAGTTTTATGTTACTGATTGCACACAGCAAATTTTCAGGGAATAGGTGTTTCCTGTTGATTTTTCATGCTGGGCCCTGAGAAAACATTTAGAGAATCACGGACAGAATTCCACAGTGGGGCCTCTAGAGGAAGGGCGGTGTGTGACCAGCACACTACAATCAAAGCTCCATGTGCAACCTCTAGCAAAGGAGCTAACGCAGACCACGTGAAGGTCAGGAAAATTCCTCCTGTTAGTGAGGCTTGATTTTGTATCTACGAGTACAGGTTGTCACAGTGATAAATAACTGGGACATTTCATTGAGAATAGCAAAGCTGCACTTTGTCCTACAAGCCCTCAGATGGGGGTCAAAGTGATGTACTCATTAAGAGTGTACATAGTTTCAAGCCATTTTCTTTTTCTCTTTTGATTATCCAAAATATTGTTAATGTCTCTTGTTTAGTTTTCTACTACTTTAGTACAGAATGCATTGGCAAAGGACAAAGAAGGGATGAAGCAGGAGAAGAGATTAAAACATTGCCAAGAAAAAAATCTTAATAAAATCCCAACCCAATTTTTATAGTATTACTCTATGCATCAAAAATGATGCTGCTTCCTTCCCTCAATTTCCTCTGAATTCTAAACTATATCCAGTGGGATAATTGAGTGCATTGACTTAGGTGTTTTTAAATCCTCTGTTGAGTGTTAGGCAAGCTCATACCTAAATGTTTTACAAAAGGGCATCATATTAGATTTTATTTTATTTTTTGGCAATATATTAGATTTTAAAGATCAGTGTTTTATTTTATTTATTTATTTATTTATTTATTTATTTATTGCACAGAACCAGGGATTGAACTCAGGCCCTTGTGCTTGCCAGGCAAGTGCTTATTCTACTGAGCCATCTCCCCGGCCCCTATATCAGTGTTTTAAATTTTTTAAATCAGTTACTTTTCCACATCCATTAGATATTCTTAATTATCATGTATATGCCTGGAAGAAGGACATAGATCTTTGGACCATAGATTTTGAGGAATTTGAATCAGTCTACAACAAAGTCGTCCTTAAAGCAAGAGAATAAAGGAATACAAGAGAATCAGGAAAAGAGCCATTCACATACTTTCCTCTCAGCCCTAGCTCTACCCCCAGCTTCTCAATGACCTTGTTCAAGTCACTTACCATTACTTAGTTGTTCCATCTACACAACTAGAATATTGAGGCAAATGACATTTTTCTACCAGGAGTTCTTCTACACTGTTACCTGCACCCAAGAGTCACTGGCTCACTACAAGATGAAAAGAGCCAATCTAGATGTGTGTGTTTAAAAGCAACTTAATTTCATGGCTACAAAGAGGAAGTGGACATAAAACAGTAAATATAGAAGGCTTTATTAAAAAATTCAATGAATAAAATTATTTAGGTTTAAATAGTGGTTGAGTTTTAAGCATTTAAGGGGAGGAGGAAGGGAAGAAAGGAAATTATATTTCTGTACAGTAAACTAGAAGTCACTGTGTTTGTAAGTCATAAATGTCACATTACTGGCACTTATTTGACTCAGGTTAATGCTGTCTGGCTATATTCTTTGACTATCACATTTCAACAGATTCCTAGGGGCTCCTTGGACAATATCAGGATTGGGACCAACATGAAAGCAGAAATATTAGAGGATCCTGAAAAAAATCCATTCCTCCAAGATCTGTAGCCTAATTGGGTAGTAGCAGGTATTTCACTAGTTTCCGAAGCAAAATGAAGTGTATCCTTTAACAAAAAGTAGTGAAGGTAAGCGCCATAGCGTTAGAACTGCTCAAAACTGAAGCAAACATAGTTTGTCCTAAGATCTCACATGGTGGAACCTTTTATGGGTTGATTCTGAAAGCAAGAACTTTGAGCTCTTCCAATGTGTTCCATTGTTTACCAGTGACCTAATTACCCTACTAATTATGGGTACTTCTAAATTACTTATTTTTTGTTTTAGTTATCCCAGAAAATTCTGTGAGGGAAGTCCTCAGAGCACCTGGGACCATCAAAGACAGGATAAAAAAGTTGCTTGCTCACAAAAACAGTATGAAAAGAAAGATAAAAATGAAAAATGTCACCCCAAGACCCAGTGGGACGCGTGCCCCTCAGGCTACCTCAAAGCCCTTCAGCTATGAAGAGAGTCTTTACAGGAGTGGAAACCCTCCTGGACATAAAAAATGGAAGAAAGAAAAAATTAAAGAAAGGCTTGAGGAAGAGAAAAGAGAAGAGAAAGCCTTGAAGAATGATGTGGAACAGGAGCGAAGCCTCCGAGGAGATGTGTTCTGTGAGTATCATGTTTGCTGTTTTATATATTTCATGAAGAATAAATTGGGATTCCTCCTGACAAATGGAAGAAGACCCAAGAGTTTCATGCTTTGAGTGAAGTGGGTTGGGCCTTAAATGCTAAGAAGTAGGGGTCTATCTGCGTGGGGTCTAAAGATGAACACCTTGCAAAAGTACCAAACCAAAGCTACTGCTGAGGGAAACAAGCAGGGCAAGTCCTATTCCCTTACCTGGGGGCTCTGTGGTTGGTGCAGGCTCCCGCTTTTCCACTGCCAACATGGGAAGCTTGCTGGTCCTGCAAGCACGGTTGTCTGGCTGCCAAGCACCTCTAGTCAGACCCTCACTGTGTGGCTCAGCCAGGCTCCAGCTTCTCAACTCTCAAAGTCACTGGTCCCAAGTTTATAAAAATGGAACTTCTAAATTGTGTGGTTCTACCTTTAAAAGGCAAAAAAAGAAAACCAGAAGGAGAAAAGGGCTAAAAAAGTAGGGCTTAAATTTTCTGCATGAACAAGGTAAGCACCAAATCCCTCTTTTCATCTGAAAGCCCACCAGAAGTCTCAGTCCCTTCTGAACAGTTTCCATGGTGACTCTGCCTGGATGCCACCACAGAAATTCCATTTCCTTCCCATTGGCATTTGTTCCTCCCTCAAATATTTCGTCAGGTCTGTTCTTGACTCTCCAACTGGTGACCATACATACAAATGCCATTTGGAAGAAACCAAGGGAGAAGTAGACATAGCCTCCCCCATCAAAGAAATAGTATACAGTGACATTAGCTCCCTTGATAGTGAAAGTCCTCAGGAAATATACCTCTGAAAATTGATGAGAAGGAATGTGCCTGGAGTGTAGATGCTAGCTCACTAAAAGAATGTCCCAAAAAAAGGATGTTCTAAATTGGGACCCTGGAACCAATGTGAGCGATTTGGAAAATGGCAGAGGGACACTGCTAGAATACTCACAGTGATTACTATCCACGATAAAGCTTCTTTGTTCAATCACTGGATTCATACCTTCTGAGCATGTGGGGTTATAAGTTTTTCTTAACTGATCAAGTGTTCTTTATCAGCCCCTAAGGTAAACGAAGCAGATCATTTGGGTCTGGATCTGGTCCAAAGAAAAGTGCTGAATTCCAAATCGGAATACAAAGGTAAATGAGTCTGTGTTACACTGTCCCATGTCACTTTCATTTCCTCATTGGATGAGGTGATTGTTTTTGAATTGTTGCCACATTCATAAAGGCCCAAGGGAAAGTCATTACATCATGATTCATGGTACCAGGATTAAAATAGTAGGGCTTTGTGTGATTACTACCAATAGTACAATGCTGGCTATTTTCTTGTCTCTGCCGCTCCCACCTGACACCATAAAGAACTGAGGCAGACTCTGTGGATAGTACTTCACACTCACTAAGTGTCCATGAGGAACTATTTGGGCCCTCTTTGAATCCCCAAACCGACTGTGTTTTCATTTTACTTTTCCTTCCATGATTCTTAGTGATACACATAAAGTTGAAAATTTTGCCCATGACCACAGCCCTGCAATGTCAACAGTCCTTGAATACAGTGTCCTGAAGTGCTCAGTCCGAAACAGAAAGCTTGAGTGTGCACTTTGACACTCCTGCTTGCTCTTTGCCTTGAGCAAGTCACTTAGACCTGCTTACTCCATGGCTTCCACACATGGGAGCAATACTCCTCTCCTAGGTGCTATATTAGGCTTGTGTTCTTGGAAACAGACCCCAAGAGAAGAATTGGAGTGCAAGTGGCTGATGGAGGCAGTGACTCAGAAAACAGTGGATGGGCACAGGGAAGTGAGGTGGGAAGAAAAGGAGGCAACAAAAAACGTGTGTTATTAGGCACATTTCTGCTGTGTGAAGTTTGCAAGGCAGTGTAGCCCACAAGGCTCAGAATAATCCTGCAGGAGGCATAAGGGACCTAAAGCACATACACCGAGCTCCATCTGAGCTTGACTGAAAGCTGCCCTGAGGGTGCTAATTTGCTAGCACTCATGGCCTCCTGTGAAAGCAGTAACAGCCCCACTGTGATAAGGGCACCTGCACCCCACTTGGCCCTTCTACAAAGCAAGACAGCTCCTGGATTCCAGTCTGACTCATGTTCACATCCAATCTCAGCACTTCCTGGTCCCATCCAAAAGCGGGGAAACAGAAGAACCTCTCTACTGCTTCCTGTCCATCTCTGCTTGAGGGCAGTCCCCAGGGAAAGAAATCATCAGCATTCTAGCACACCTGGCTCGGGCCAAGAATGCCGCAGCCAGAGAACACCTTCACACCTAGAGCTGTAATTGCACTAGAGAGCCGTGCAGCTGCAGGGAACATAGTACTGAAACCAACAGTATCTGCCTCGAGGCTGACATGGATTAAACCAGAGAAAGGATTTGAAAGCGCTCTGCAGACCATTAAGTGCTATCTAATCAATTAGTGCACTAATGAGACCAAAGTCTTGAGTTTTGCCTCTTTATGGAACAGCAGGCTGTGTACTACCCTCTTATCTCTCTTTACATGCCCCATTAATTGTGTGTGAAAAAGGAGGGAGTTCGCAATAAATGTGCCACCACATAAACCAACTGAAAAATTGATGTTCCACTGCTTGAGAGATGGCAACATCAATTTCTCAAACTATGAAAGCACTCATAAAAATATAGAAGACTAGACGCAAGTATTGCCTGTCATTTTTCATTTGAAAATTGGAACTAAAAATCTCTTTGATAGCATACCAAAAATGGGAAATGCAGGAGAAAGAAAAGTAAGAAAAGGGGTAGTTTGTGCTCAGTTAACGTGTAAAAAGAACAGACAGTCCTAGATTCCAGTCTACCTTGAGACTCAAGTTTAGTCCCAATTTTTGGTCTGCAAACTTAAGTTGTTAACCCTCCAGAAGAGAAGCTTAATGATATTATTACCCTGTAACATAGGCAGTTGAGCTTAACCTCACTATCTGTCTGAATATCAAACAACTTAGACATAACATGGAACAGGTACTTTCCATCAAGTATTGATATGTTAAACTTTAAACCCCTACAGAATGTGAAGAAAAAAAACATTCAAAAATAGGAATAAACAATTACATATTTTTACAAGGGCTTCAAGGATAGCCAACATTTTGGCCCTAGCCTTTCAAGGTTAATGAGGACTCAGGACATAGGAGAACCTGTACTGTAACATCCTGTAACTCAGTTGTGTCCCAGATTTTCTGATCAAGGAGATTATGGGGCCAAAGAGGAAAGTGATCGATGATGTAGAGTGTTCCTAAGGAGAGTCACATGGAGAAAAAACATTATCTCAGGCTTTCACAGACAGCAAATTGATCAGGCAATGGCCGTGACTCATCCACATGGCTGACACTGACAAAGGATCTATAAACTGCAGTACAGGGTTTCAGGGTAAACTCTGAGGGGGTTTGACTGACCTTGTCAGATACAAAAGTTACATTTCCTATTATATAGGTCTTGCTTTATCTTGGTCTTAAACATCCAGCAGGAAAGTATAAAAATGTAGTATAAAAAGTAAAGCCATATTCATATGCTGAGCTGTGAAAAGCTCAAGTCAACAACTTCTGACATTGCCAGTCCTATGAATAGCCCATTACTATTATGGACTACTGGACTATATTGGATTATTTTGCTGAATCCACGCACCTACAATATTTAAATGGCAATGGAATACCCATCTCTGACAAAACTAAACAAAAAAAAAAAGCGATACAAATGAAGAACCATCTTGTATCTCTATATACAAAATAGTTAGGATAGATATACAGCTACTTTCTCTTAATTGAATGAGAAGAAAGATTTGTACTAATAGTGTTTGGACAGGATACCATGTCTGCACCTTGTACTATGAAAAACCACTACAAAGACAACAATATGCAATGTATTAATTATTTAAACTGTCCTACTAATCAATTTTGAAACTGTCTCATTGCTATTTGTTTCTCAATAAAATTAATTTTAAAAAAGTTTAGTCCCAGCCCTCAGTGTCTGCAGAAGTTGGACAAATCACTTCTGAGCGTTAGTTTAACTTTCCTGAAATTGGGTTCAATAATAAACTTTTCGTGTTGGTTTGTTTGAGACAAGGTCTCACTATGTAGCTCAGGCTGGCCTCAAACTCAGGGCAATCTTCCTTCTTCAGCCTCCCTAATGCTGGGATGATAGATGTGTGCCACCATGCCCAGCTGATGCTAAACTTTTTTAGGAAAAATCAAATAACATAATGTTTCTGAAAATATCTGGCATATTGAAATGAGTGAAGAATTGACTGCTTTTGATTTTTTGCCTTTCTTAATTAGCATAAATAAGTAAAAGACACAAGATTCAATTTTAGTATTTATCTCAATCATTCCTTTTTTGCAGTGCTATTTTTTTTACGTATCTACACCAGGAGTTAGAAAATATTTCTTTAGAGAAAGCCAGGCAGTAAGTGTTTTAGGCTCTGTGAGCCCCATGGTGTTTGTGGCACCTACTCAGCTCTGCCCTTATAGCACCAGGGCAGCCATAGCCAATGTGGAGATGAATGAACAGCTGTGTTTCTTTTTTTTTTAAATTATTTATTTATTTTTATTTATTACATTTATTTATTGTATGTGTGTGTGGCCAGCTCAGCCCACCAGGGGGCGGGGCTGGCTGGCATGTGGTGCTGGGGGATTGAACCGCGGTCCCTGTGCTTTGCCAAGCTTGTTTCAGGTAGGTGCTTTAGACCACTGAGCCATCTCTCCAGACCCGAACAGCTGTGTTTCAATAAAACTTTACAAAAATGGGCAGTAAACCAGGTTGTCAATTTGTAGGTCTCTAGCCTACACGAGCTGACTCAAATGATTTTTCTCAACTACATCTAAAGAAGGCAATCACAGCATGTCCACTTATTTGATCCAACATGCTGGTGGAAAATTTCTAACAAGAATGTTGGAATTCTGAAGCAAAGAAAGGAAAAGATTTTGTTACTTAGTGTGCCATTTGTATCCATGGAGTTTTAATTGTTGGAAATGACTAAGCGACATGGAAAGGCCAATGGCATTGAAAGAGGGATTTAGTACTTACATTTCCCAACAGAAGGCTGCACTGTATGACACACAGGGCCCCAGAGGAAGAAGCATCAGGTTGTGGTCAGAGGTAGATGCAGGACTGAAGGGAAAGCCTAGGCCAAAGCCTTTCCTGAAATTTCTGTGGGAAGAAAGGCAATACAGAGAGGTGAAAGTGGCTTTGGACTGGCCAGGATAAATAACTGCAGAAGGCCTTGGAGAGCAGGGGCTGCCCCCAACTGCCTGATACCTAGCATTGGGATGACTTAGGGTGGGGGGAATATTGACTGTGTATGTTAGACAGTTTTCTGTCATTGTGACAAAATTCCTGAAGTAATCAACTTATATGGAGGAAAGACTTGTGGAACTGCCATCTTCCAGTAATTTGCCAAAATGACTAACACAAAGGGCAAGAGGAGGGGAACCGGGATATGTTTTCCAAGCCTTTTAGAAAACATGGAGTTGTTCCTTTGGCTACATACATGCAAATCTACAAAAGGGTGATATTGTAGACATCAAGGGAATAGGTGCTGGGCAAAAATGACTGCCTCACAAATGTTACCATGGCAAAATGGCAAGAGTCTACAGCATTACCAGCATGCTGTTGGCATTGTTGTAAACAAACAAGTTAAGGGCAAGATACTTGCCAAGAGGATTACTGTACATATAGAGCATGTCAAACACTCACAAAGTCGTGATAGCTTCCTGAAGCGTGTCAAGGAAAATGATCAGAAAAAGAAAAAAAACAAAGAGAAAGGTACCTGGGTTCAGCTGAAGTGCCAGCCTGCCCCTCCCAGAGAAGCGCACTTTGTGAGGACCAATGCAAAGGAATCTGACTTGTTGGAACCTATTCTCTATAAATTTATGGCATAAACTGGGGGTGTTGCTCTGCCATTCAGTACCTAATTGGCAGCTTAAGTGTTCTAGGTCCTATGTAAAAATAAAATTGCCTTGTGTTGTAAGGGTGGTTTTCTTAGTTAAACAGGTATGTGGTGCCTTCTTACCTCAGAAATATTTGTCACAGATTTTCACTGTACCTAATAATTGGGTCTAGTCTTTACTCTTCAGTGTTTTTCTTGCTTAATGATATTGCTGAGGTATCATGCAGGTATATACCCAAATAGTCAAATATTTACAAATATATATATTGAAGATCCTGTAAATCATCATGGGAAAAAGATGTATCAAAATGAATGGAAGTCACTTCAGAAACAAATGTAAATCCATATCAGTTAAATAAATGTTTAAGGCCAAAAAAAAAGAGAGAGAGAGAGAAAGGTTTATTTTGTTCACAATTTCAGAAGTGTCAGTCCATGATTACTTGGCCCCATCACTTTGGGACTGTGGTGGCGCAGAGCCTCATGGTGGGTAGTGGGTGGCAGTGCAAAGCTGCTCAAGTTATGGTGGCCAGGAAGCAGAAAGAAAGAGAGGATGGAGCCAGGGTCCCCGTATTCCTTTCAAAGGTATGTCCAAGCCCACCCCCAGTTACTCACGTCTCCCTAGTAGGTCTCACCTCCCAATTGTGCACCAGGGTAGTGAGCAATCCTGTAGCATGATTGGGGGTCATTTCCGATCCAAACTGTAACAGTGCATGTGAATTAGATAAAGATCATGGTGGTCTTATGAGAAAACATGTCCTCAACTTAGCTGGTCATGGATGGGGAAGTCTCTCCCCAGGTCTCTAAGACCCCAAGTGTCGAAACATCATACAATCCACCAAACAAAAAATAGTATGTACTACGATAATGTTGATAATCATGTGTCATGTACTACATGGAACGTTGTATTCCACAAATCATCTAGAAAGTTCTGGCAAGTTTGTTTATTTATGTAAAGGAGAATTTATTTTCTGGGCTAAATTTTATGACCAATTGGTTATACTTTTTGTTTTGATTTGCCCAGGTAGGTCTTGCCCATTATTTAGGTTTTCTTTAACTTACAGATTTTTTTTTGTTTTCATTTTTGTTTTATAATATTAAAACTCAATTTGTTGAGAATGGCCTCAAAGATGTAACTCAAAACAAGGTATCTGGTTTGACACTAGTGCCAAGAGCATATATGTTTCCTTGGCCTCCACCAGTGATGATGAACTTCTTTGGCCTTTCAGTGACACAAACAGCCCGCTGCTCCACATGTGCCATAGCTTCACCACCACTGATCTATACTCTACAACTAAAATAGGACATTTCCTTCTGAAGCTCCAAATTTTCGCTGTATTTCTAATGTTTTTCATGATCATCAAATGTGCTCTTTTTAAAGCAGGTTTCAATATCTCAGCTGACTGTAGCTTTGATCATGGGGTCTGTGACTGGAAGCAAGACAGAGAAGATGATTTTGACTGGAATCCTGCTGATCGAGACAATGGTATCTACATTTGACTGTTTCATATTCTGTAGTGTGACCAAGGGAAAGAAAGCTTTTCAGGGAAGAGGGTTATTATGCCCATCACTCTTAAGGTAGGGGTTGTCATTTTTGGAAACTTTTAGACTTTCCAAGGTCTCCCCTGATGGATAATGAACTTGGTCCAGCACATATTCCCTCTGTAATCCCTCACCCACCTACCTGTCCCCATAAAGTGCGTGGCAGCAAACTTCTTCCTGCTTCTGAGGAGAGAAAGCTATATGGAGTCATATAAAGTTCAGGAGTGTTGGCAGAAGGAAGCTGTTGGTTTTGCCCAGTTTACCAAGCAGTGGTGTTCAGTAGTTTTTGCTTTGTTCTTTCAGGGGAAGCAAAACTTGAAACACGACCTCTTTTAAACTGAGAGTTGTAGTAGGATCACCTCCTCCCTTACGCATCAAATTGATTTGAGTGTCATCATGCTGTTTTGACATTATCGCTAAGAGCATGTATGTTCTAGGGTTGAGGTGGAACCTGAACTCCTGGACTGAACTGAACTTTCCCTTCAGTAGCTGGAGGTTCTCTTTCTGGCCCCCTGATCTCACATTTTTCTCAAACATAGATCTGAGCTGTATACTTACTGCCCTTCTGATGCCTATTTCACTACTATTGATGGATTCAAGCTTTCCATTGGGTAGAATGTCCTGCTTGCAGATCCATTTGGAGTGCTTATTGCATTCTTCTCTCCTGAAGGCCAGCTAGACAATGAAGGTCAACCGTCTCACCTCAGGGACTTCAGTTCCTGGCCAATGAACTTATTTCTTTGGGAATATATATGGATCAGCCTTCAGTTAAAAGATTCCTCTACATCCTTCCTTGGGATTAACTCTCCTCTGAGCTCTTTTTCAATTTTTGTGTACAATTAGAAAATTTCAATATCTCAAAAAAAAACCTTTTTTAAAGGGTGGGACTGGACTAGATGGGCTGCATCATCCCACCAGCAGTTGTGTAAATGGAACTATAACTAAAGATTCAGGATGAACACAGGGCACATTTAACCAGATCAGAGACAATGCATCTTTGGAGAAACTATCTTGTTGATAATTAAGCTGAGCCCCTTCTTTCTTCCTAAAGCTTCTCTAATTTATGTCTAAAAGAGCTGTATCACACTGGGAACCCACATATAATCTCAGGATCTTGACAGCTCACACAGTCAGAAAAGTGTTACACGGAATGTCCCATCAGCGGGAAGTCTCCTATTTACAAATACACAATCACAAATAATCCTGGGTCCTCAGCTTCTCCATCACTCAAATTATACACTGTCCCTTCTTATGCCTCCACTGTCTTTAAGGTATTTTTCCCCTACAGAGTTAAATATAGAATAGAAACATGAGGTCAATCAGTATTTGACTCCCTTTTTATCTTGAATATAATGTTATTCTGAAATTTAAAACCCACTGAGCATCTTGCATTTTAATTTGCTGAATCAAATAACTCTTACTAGCTGGCAAAGAAGACCTGACAGGGTGTGAGTCCAATGAAAACCAAGGCAGTATTACCTGGGTTCTGCAAGTGTCTCCAGGAGTTGCACTAAAAGATTCCACGCCAACCCCAGTGTCATTCTCCCAGCTTTTATAGGAATTCCACCTTCTTCTCCACTTCCTCAGACCCTACTCTGTAATTCTTGTTCAAGTTCATCAAACCCACAATCAAAAGACTGGAGATGAACAAAAGTCTACTGCCATAGGTTAAAAGATTCCTAGGAGACTTGCAGGCATAGAAAGAAATATATTCTTGGCATCCTAAATCAGAACTCAGTGTGATACATTGAACAGTGTAGTTGAGCTTCATGAAACCATTAGGGCAAATCAGGGGTGTTGTAGCTTAAACACCACTTTATGGGCCCACCTGACAAGCTGGCCATTGGACATAGCATTGGCTCAGTGGGGAACTGTAATACACATTTCCAACAATCCAGGTGGAACTAAAGTTCTGAAATACAAGTCTCTATTAGCTGAAAATTACCTGCAGTACTAAACGCCCATTTAATTAAATTCTTACCCCATATCTGCTACTACCAAGCTTTGTTAATGTGGGCAAATTCCTCTGTTTCGCTGACCTTCAATTTCCTTTTCTGTATGGCAAAAGATTTCAACTGTGTAATCCCTAAAATCCATTTTAGCATGAAGATTTCTTTTCCTGTGTTCAAAATGTAAAGGACTTCAGCTTTCCCTAGGGGACACTATTGTTTATTTTTATAGCTATTTCATATATAAAAGCCAAATCCTTCATAGTGGCCTTATTAACTGCATATTTTTCTTCTCTTAAAGCTGTTGGCTATTACATGGCAGTTCCGGCCTTGGCAGGGCACAGGAAGGACATTGGCCGATTGAAACTTCTCCTCCCCAACCTGCAGCCCCAAAGCAACTTCTGCTTGCTCTTTGATTACCGGCTGGCAGGAGACAAAGTGGGGAAACTTCGAGTGTTTGTGAAAAATAGTAACAATGTGCTGGCCTGGGAAGAGACCAAGAGTGAGGATGAAAGGTGGAAGACAGGAAAAATTCAGTTGTATCAAGGGATTGATACTACCAAAAGTGTAAGTTGAAAACATTGGTTAAACTGGGTATGTATGTTGTTTGCAATGACTTAACAAAACAAAACACTGAAGTACCTAGACCCTGGGGATATAAAGATGAATGTGGCTTTTTCCCTATACTTAAATATCTTCTATTCTGGCATAAAATAGGCAAAGAGATTAATCAATAAAACCAACACCAATATTTGTCAGATGAATGCATATCACATTCCATAGAAAAGACCTGTCTTTTGTGCCTGGCTCCTTTTCCCAGCTTCCTCCCAAAGCAGTCGGGGCATTCCTTAAGAGGTAAAAAATGTCTTGCTCATTTATTCTATGCACACTGTGTGGCATGACAAGTGGTAGCCAGATGATGATTTTTTTTTTGATTTTTTTTTAACTGAACTGGGAAGATAACTGTTGCTGGGGGTCTCTGAGGCCATGCTCACATTCAGTGATTCCCTAGAAGTTTGCATAGAACTCTATAAGCTGTTGTTCACAATACTAGAAGCACCTAGTGCAGAATCCAAGAAAGATCAGGCACAAGCGTATAATTTTCTTTCCCCAGTAGAGTCATATGGTAACTCTTAATTCTCCCAAAAGCCATTGGTAATAAATCTCAGCAAGTATTCCCACCAGGAAAGCTCAACCCAGCCTTGGTGTTCAAAGTTTTTGTTGATGAGTCCATCTGCCCACCTGTCTGCTGATGTGGATGACTCGTTAGTCAGACTCCAGCCTCTCCAGAGGTCAGACTGATAGCATGAAATCCAAGTTTCTCTCCATAAATCACAGTGTTAGCATAACACTTGGCTTGCCCCAAGGTCTCAGGTCAACAATATTGCACTCTGTTAGGTAAGATATGCCAAACTTTGGAGGTTATCCCAGGAGCCCAGCCTTATAGAATGTCCAGGGCTTATACAACTCAGATCTGCAGAATAAATCCTTCACTGCAGAAGAAAAGAAAGGGAAATCGCATCTTAAGAAGTTGGTTGATTGATGGTATGAAACACTGAGAAAAAACAAATTAAATTTAAAAAATGCTTATTGAGTTTGACTATCAAGACGTGGCTGATGACCTTGGCAGAGATGTTTCTTTAGAAGGAAGGATAAAACCCACAGGGATAAAACCTCGGGTGCAAAGCTGGGGCAAAGTGTGAAAGAAAAAGAGCCAAAGTTAGAAGGAAAGACTTGAAGAGGTGATCAGAGGGAGAACAAGGGGAGATGCATGAATCGGAATGCTTTTATACTTCGCTTGGGAAGGAGGAGGATGAATAGAAGCGCAACACCAGCTCTTGGCAATAGGCCCCAGACCAGAAAGCCTAGGCAGTCCCTAGTGCCAGACATTATATTTAACATCTTCTCATTTACTCATCACACTTTAATTAAAGCAGAACATCTTATTTTAAATGCCTCATAAGACATGACTATAAATAAACGTGTATGTTAGGCCCTAGCTAATGAATTTCCTAAGCACTTTTTCCCTTTGTAGTAAAAGCAGTCAGTGCTTTTTCAGGACTGACACACATCGTAATTCAAGCGTATGCTCACTGTAGTACATTTGAATCAGTATAAATCCAATCCGCATGTTTACACTGTTGTGCTTGCAGCATGCTTTGGGGACTGTGGCACTGAACCATGCTCTCTCTATATATATATATAGATGCCATCTCCCACTGGCGAGTGGAAATATGCAGAGGCATGACATCCATAATTACTTCCCTGCTGATCAAATTCACATGCTCATAGCTTGGGGACATAATCAGAACGGTGCCATTTTAAGTCCACACTTTGAAACCATGCCCCCCAAAAGCCTCGCCAGCCATCACATTGTGACACAACAGTGCTGCCACATAGCTCCTGAATTTTCAATTCTGTGAGAAACCTTGATGGGGGATATTGGAGGGTAAGGAAGCTGAATAATCTGGATTGGAGCATATATTCCAGTTTACCGTTGGTATATTGGCCACAGATATTGGTGGCAAGTAGCTGGTGACTTTTACTGCATGTAAGAGATAAATTGTATCCTTCCTCAAAATGAAATTATATCTCAATCCAAAGGCCCATCCCATTAAGCTAAGGGGATTCAATCTCAGTATTCTGCTCACACAGGGTTGGTGGAGGGGCCCTTCTCTAAGTTGTCCCCAGCTTTTGAAATGCTGGGGTGGCACAAACATTCAGAAGGAGGCAGCACATCTTCATTCCATCATGGGACCATGGATACCCATGTATTTTGCCCCCATGTGGCCCTTAGAGCCATTCATCTTTTCAGCTTCCTTATTACATTGGGGTGTAATCTTACTGCTGAAAATTCAGCCTCAATAGGAACATCAGGAAACCCTCTCCCACTCAAGGCTGTGCTAAAGCAAGGCAGTGGTTGTTCTTAGCAGTGGGGAAAAAGTGAGCTTCTTCCCCTCACTGATTCTCTTCTTAGCTCTCCACTGTCTACTAGTATAGTCTCCTCAAGGAAATTAAATTTGCTGTGAGCAAACATCAAGAAAGGCATTGTCTTCCAGGAAAGTCTACTTTTGGTCTAAATATCCCAAATCTCGTTGATAAAAGAGAACATTGAAATCCAGCCTATGTTTTAGGGGTGGACAGGGTAAGAAAATTGTATTGAAAATGTATACAAATGAGTGTGCCCAATAATTATCCTGATGTTTATTTTTAATTTTCCAGGAGATGTCAGTGATAGAAAAGACACCATTTCCCAAGGTGTACACACATGCACTCTCATTATCCTGTTCACTGAAGCTATTGTGAGGGATCTGCACATTGGCTCACTTCTACTTTATTAAAGTTATCCAAAGGGAATGTCTTCCTGAAAGGAGTTCCCACCTGAGAAGTGAATAGAGAGGAAAAGAAAAAAGATTTCTAAATCCAGTCACGCTGTCTCTTCTTAGTACTGTCTTGTTTCCAACCATTCTCAAGAAAATATATCCATCTTGAAAGCAAAAGAGGCCTGAGCAATAATAGTCACAGGCTTTTGTCATCTCATCGCTCCCCCCATGATTTCCTGTCTTCACTTCAGAAAGCCTCACAAAGTTGGACACAGTCATGATAGCAAGCCAAAAGTTGCTTTATCTCTACCACACTGAAAACTGTTCTGTAATGCTTTGCAAAGCAGTAAGAAAGGGTGCCTGTGATTGAGCATGACTCAGAGTCTATGATTCTATAATTGAGGCTACGACTGAGCATGATTCATATACCTCCGATATACCTCATCTCTGTTTCTCCATCTCTCCATCTCTCCTCTCCTCTCCTCTCCTTTCCTTTCTTCTCTTCTCCTACTGGAGACTGAATCCAGGGCATTCACAATAAGCTAATTCCCCAGCCCCTTTTGTATTTTATTTTGAGACAGGGTCTTTGCTAAGTCACTAAACTGCCCTTAGGATCACACTTAAGAGTCTCCTGCCTCAGCCTCCTAGAGTGCTGCGATATGCTACAGGCATGCTACTATGAGCATGTAAAGGATCTTTCTTTAAAATACAATTTTTGTCTGCTTCTTTGTTAATTTTTCTGTTTCTTTTTGTGATACTAGAGATTGAACCCTGGGCCATTCCACTGAGCTACACGCAGGTATCCCACCACCCCATTTTTTTGAGATAGGGCCTCAATAAATTGCTAGATTGTCCAGGCTAGGTTCAAATTCGCAATCCTCCTGCCTCAACCTCACAGAATGTTGGGATTACAGGTACATGTCATCATGCCCAAATTAAAATGCCAATTTTCTACAAGCTAAAATTTATTTAAATTTTTTCCATAATTTTATTGAGACACAAATAGCAATGAGACAGTTTCAAATCAAATTGGGAAGACAGTTTCAATAATTAACACATTGCATACTCTCTTCCTAGTGGTTATTTGCTGTACAAGATGCAGACATGATATCCTATTTACAAACACTATTAGAACAAATCCCTCCATTCATTAAGAGAATG